TATATAAACAGATACTCAGGTTATGTAAGTAATAAGATACTTACCAGTCGGAATTCCTGAATGGCGCATATAAAAAATGGTGTATCCGGCCTCTGACTGTCAATATATATACTATCTGTAAAATAAACAAAATCATGTCAGGATAAAAAAAGAAATTACTTTATTTTAGACATATTTGAAACAGAGACTTTTGTATGGATGACAATACAGAAAGATGATACCTGTGTCAGCAATTGCAATTTGAATAATTTTTCCCATAATTTTATGAAAAATCTGTGAAAAAAGTTTACTTCGTTGTTTAACAAGCAAACAATATATGGTGATACCAAATCTTTTAACAGGATGATATTTTATCTTACATAACTGATTGTTTGAGGGTAAATACAAAACTTCTTGAACTATTTCAGTTATGAGAGTAATATATCTTCAATTCTTTTCAAAATGAACACCAGAATGTCTTCTTTTTTTTCAATTTTTTTTTTCTAATTTTCTTTCTCTTAATTTTCCTTCCTTCTATGTAATATTTTGTGTTGTATGTTTATATTACTGAAACAAAATAAAAATATTATTTAAATAAAAAAAAAAGAATGTCTTTTGACTTTTATATAATTGAATTTTGATATTTTTAGACCAATAAATTCAATTTTGCTACAAGTCTTGTAATTGTAAACAAAGTGTGCAGCACGAAATTTGAAATGGAGACAAAATTTGACTTTGGCCCTCAAAGGGTCAACAACAACAAAACATTGTGCTTCCTATTGTTCTCAAGTTTACATGGGTGGAATCATCGCCTCGTACAATATTGTTAACGTGACGAGTGATGACACAATCTGCCGCCATCGTCTCCGTGATATGCAATTACACAATTAATCTAGATTATAATTTCTTCTTCAATTTGCTGTAAACTTCAATAATTGGCAAAGATTAACTAATTATAAAACAATTACAATCACTTGATATTCCTTATACATATTTCATATTTGACCTTCTCGATTATCGAGACGTTTTACTCTGCACGTTCTGTCATCAAGAGATTCCATACTGATACCTTGTAATTTGACGCCAATGTTTGATAAACCATATTTTCCAAGAAGCAATCAATGCACATGACATTTTAAAATACATAATTCATACTGAGTTATTATTTTTAATAAACAATGAGATACGCGTTTCACTGGCCCGTAAAATCAGCTTCCCAACAAAAGATGCATCATGATATTCCAATTTATCAAATGAAAAGCGTGTAGTTTTATTAAAATATCCATTATAGTTTTGTTTTGAATAACAAGAAAGAAAACACCATAGGGGGGAAGAGTGAGTGTGTGATGTTTTATTCAAAATTCTTTGTATGGTGGATAGCATTAAAAATTTGGTTTAAATTACATGTTTAATTGTTTTTATTTCAGAGCGAGTTACAAAAATCACAAATTCAGCACCAGTGAATCTTTTGTACGCCATAACTTTGCCTGTCGAAAATTGTGGTGCTACATTTTTTTTTTATAGTTGTTCCATTACATGTAGGTCTTAAATATTATGTGGATTTTTTTTTTTAAAATAACTGCAAGTTTAACTTGGCATTGAAGTGAAGTCACAGACTTTCAGGATATCTATGCAAATTTCTTTATTTTTCTGTTATTTAGTGTTATTATTAAAAAATTCAGCTATTGCTTACAAAGATGAGAAATAATCGATGGTCAGGTTTTAGTCAGATTTAAAACAATCCATTACATGGATGTATAGCATTAAAAAAAAGATATTAGTAATCAATGGAAACAGTTTACTTATTTCAATAAATATTATTTCACTGCAACATTCTTCATATTAATTAAGAGGCACCATTTTGAAATATTAGTTACGCCATTTTTTGACGAAATGGATAAAAATCAAAGAAATATTCAGTTAAAGTCATGTCTCGTACTAATTGTATATAACGTTGAGTTTCCATGGTGAACAAAATGTTTGAAGCAAAACACATGCACGAGTTTCTATCGTGAATGTACGTCAGGTTTTCAATGTTATCCAAAGATTATGAAATAGGTGATTTTCCGTTCAACTGCAAGATCTTGCGAGTTGCGTGAAAGATGCGAGCTGAATGTCTGCCGCAAAAAACAAATGTTTTGATTTTGAACTTGAATTTGTTTATTTCATATTTTACATCAAAAGGCCGATCTTTGACAGGGGGATATTGCGTTTGAATACTCTTACTTCATCGAAATTGACCATCATCAAATGTGTACAGCACATTATTAAGCATGAAAACAGTTGTTGAATCCCATGTGATGTTGGTCGTCACTATGACGCTATGACCTTTGTTTGTCCTGTTTCTGTGTTCGATTTCACACATAACGTGTGATCTCGCAGTTAACGGGAAAATGGTCTATTAACATGTGCGTAGTAACCACTAAAACGTGATCATGTTTCGAATCAAGAATCATCAGTTTATTTGTCAATCGTCCTTGGATGTAAAAAATAAATAAACATTAAGCCTTGATCTGCATTCAGTTACTAGGCAACATGAATGGAATGAACATACACTATCTAATGATGTCACAATACAACATTGTCTATTTTGAAAAAGGAAAGGAAGGGCTTTTAGTGGATCACATCACGAAAGTGAGTCATTTTATATGAACTCTCGTAGATTAATGAGGCAGGGTATGAATCAAGCCGTAAAACATACACTGTTTAAACAGTATATTTGGTCAACGCTATCAGTTAGTAAAGTGGCTAATAACACCGATTTAATACGTCATTCAATTACGCTCACTTCCTGACAACAATGACAACATTTGTACGGCCGTATGTTACAAAGCAAGTGACAAGGATTGAACTCATACTAACATGAAACGTACAAGCAGTTGAAGTGCCTGGCAGTGAATCAGGAGAAGGCAAAATAGGGAGAAAAATATAAATAATTTTTAAAATAGATTTTCATTCTTTTTCAAAATCTTATTATCCATGAAATAAATATTTCTTGGATAATATTAGTTTTCAATAAAATTTCATAATTGATAATTCAGCATAATTTAAGATAACATTTGATGAAGCAAATTTCAAAAATAAAAGTATGTTTGGCAAAATAATTAAAAACTGTCAAATTTATACAAAATATTAAAACTATCATGTTAATATCATAAATATTGAGTCTAAATATTCAAGCAAACAGAAAAATGATAGAATACCATTAAAAGTTGGATTATTTTTGGTGGGGAAAAAAACTGTACAAGCAGCAACAAACACTGCCTGAACAAGATCTTAGAGTAATAACAGCTACTAGTTTATTTATATTGAGCCGACACCATTACTATTAATTTTTACATCTCTGTTCATTCAGATCATTACGCGTTATTTTATTTTATATCAATTTCAAACCTAACAGACAAAGCTTTTCAATGTGAAAATGGTTTGAAGAAAAAAGAAAGAATGTTTACGCTAAAAGTGAAATCAGCTCACAATAAAGATAATTCAAGCAGCTGAGTATGTCTCCTAAAACAAACCAGCCACGAACAGAGACAGCGATAATTCAACAATGTTTTATTTTTATCAAGGGAATCACAAACTTGATGAGAAATGCCTATTTTATTTTGTTCGTAAAACAGACACAAGACTAAGAGATCGTGATATATAATTTCATGTTATCCAAAACTGATACAGACAAGGTAGGATATTGATAACTAAGCAGCAGCCGATAGTTGTCGCCGATAGTTGTCGTAGATGTTATCAGATTCATATATCATATTTCATAGCTATCGCTGAACACTCTGTTTTCAATAGCGCTACTTACATCAATCTAGGAGTAGACCATGAAATCAGAGGGAGGGGATATTAATTATTATCGAACATTTGATTTCATAAATATTTACAATATGTATTTATGTATATAAATTTGTAGAAAAAATGTGAAAATTCTAATTTACAATCCAATTTTTTTTTATGAGATCAAAAAATGCCCCCCCCCCACAAAAGGCAGCCAAACCCTTTCAGATTCATTTTTCTAGTTTACATACAACTTACTTAAATTTATTTATATAAATGTTTGTATTAGAATAATGAGAAATTCCGACCTATACAAGCTCATACAATGAAAACACTGCCCTCACAGTTCAGGTAGAGTATAACATTCAGCATACACTGTAATGCAAGCAATTCAGAAATGCTTTCAAGTATTTCATCAATAATTCAACAATCTCCGGCAGCTAGCAGATTAATATTTTATACTTATATATCATTTGAACGATATAATTTTTACCTCTAAATTGTTGTTAATTTTGGAACAAATTTCCCATTGCTAGTAGATCTTGGGAGAAAAAAACATCAAAAAAAAAAAAAAAAGTTACATGGTTAATTTTAAGCATCTAATTTTTACAAAAAAAATGCAAATCCAATCCTGAATTGTTTCTATTAAAAGCACATTTTTAACTTAAATGAATATAACATCAAATGTATTGTATTGTATTGTATTGGTAATCACCACAAACATGGTTCAATTTAAACAGGACTCCAAATACACAGGATGATTTGGTGTACACACATTTTACTGAACTAGAATTTGGCTTTAGAAACAGGACTGAAAGCAAAGACCTTAGAAAACATGTTTTCTAAGGTCTATGCTGAAAGTAAGCTCTTAAAAACTCTGTCACATAAAACCCAACAAAGTCAAGGACAAATAAAACAGATTGAGTGCATGGTAATTTTTCCAGGACTGCAAGCTATCACCTTAACCTCCGGCAATGTCATCATTTCTAATACAAAGTTTGAAAGAGGGAGAATAAACATCTCTTTATAGCTTCGTCCAATTATAAAAGACGCTGCTTACAAAGATAGAAATTAACACTGTGTGTATACCCCCATAGGGTTCACATCAATCTTGATGAATATGTAAACATAGTTATTGTAACTCAAGTTGGCTTGTATTCTGACAGTGAAACCAATATTATGACAGCAAATAGCCAATTGGTAGTGTTCTGCAAACAAACAATCGACTACTAGAATTACTTGAAACATCAACAAACACATTTTAAGAGGTTAAAGGTCAAAAACAACCTGTGAAAACTTAACTTTTAAGGCACTTCACCAATTATTAAAAGTTAATGGGAATGGGAATGAAATATTTTT